GAGTTCTCTGTGTCTAGTCTGGGGAATATCGTTTTTCCCCGGGAAAAGGAGTAGCGTCATCTTGCTGATGTCAGGAAAAAAAGTATCCACGGACTTGGAAATACTAGTGACTTTACAACTGAGTGCTGGACATTGTCTAGCAGATCTTTTGGAGAGTCACTGATTTTATGAGGCTGTAAACCTTTTGCTTTCTATCGACTAGTATGTACCTTCTAACTCTCTAATCATAGAAAACTGATAGTCATACAAGTGCTTCTTTTCCATAGCAATGAAAATAAATCTTACCTATTAGAGATACAATTGATTTGTGCCTGGTGGAGGTGATAACCTCAAATATTACATTTTATTGTCCTATAAGATATTAATTTATTTATATCAATAGAAAATGTATTTCAGCATTTCTTACTGCATGCAAATGAGTTCTTCAGCCCCTTTGAACTGATTTCCTCATTCGTTAGTAAGTTAAATAATATCTTTAATAAGTTCATTTCATATTTGCACAAAGTCGTATTTTTAACTTTCTCAAAATTATACTGTAGTGCTAATTAGCCATCAGGAAAGGCAACAGGCCTGCCTACCTTGTAGCCTATCAGGTGGAGAAGACCTTCTAGCAGGCAGCTCTTCAAGACTGTCAGAACTGGAGTCTAGTTTTTCTGATCTTGCCTACCTTCTCACCCTGGAGTGGGTTAGCGATGGGCACTGACCCTGTTCCAAACAAAGGGAAGGATATGCCACATCTGGGCTGGGTACAATTTCCCAGGCTCACTTTTTTAACTTTGTTCATTCATTAAAAAATATTTGGAATATGCTTGATTCTAGAAACTGTGACAGGCATGGGAGATGCAAAAATTACTAAGTTTCTTCCTTCAAGGATACAAAATATGCTAAAAACATAAAAAATGACAGATTTGTAAGTCACAAGTTATAATTCAATGGAGTTGGTAGGCTAATAGAAACATATATAAGATAGGGAAGAGAGTCAATCTCTGCAGAAGGATTCAGTGGCCACAGAACACTCACTGTGGGAACAATGTATGAGATGTGTATTAAAATATGAGAGGGATTTTATGTGTAGAGTGGTGG